AAATCGGTACTCGGTTACTCGGATGTATATTTTTTAATATTTTCTAAGCTTATTTATTAATGCATTAAACAATCTGTTTTAAAACGTAATTACTCATTGCACTTTACATATAGTAATTAGGGTTTCCTAAAATGACCGTTATCGCCTGTGGCAGTGTTTATACAGTAATTATCGTGACCAAGCACCTGTTACCTCGCTTTTCTCACCTTCGGCTGTCTTCTACCCTTACTTTTTGATTTGCTTTAATTATTTGTTTTCACTGAACATCGTTTAAAGTCTGTTATGATTAAATAAATCGGATAATTTTATCAATTCTCCGAGAAGCCGTGAATTCTCGGGAAAAGATACAGGATGATATTACACGCGCGATTGTTGATATAGTTGTGTTTGATTACATGCCAATACATGTACAAATGGTTGAAGGCAAAGGCTTTAAAAAACTGATGTCCATCGATGCACCAAACTACAAAATACCGTCCCATAATATTATAAAATCTAGGATAGAAAAGTATACGAAAATCGTAAATCCGCTCTGTTAGGAGAACTTGTCAAGTTCAAGTCAAACAGTACGACTGATACCTGGACGTCAAACGCAACAAAGAGTTACATTACAATTACGGAGTAGATTATTTTTTTAAAACACAAACACTGTGAACCACTTACGATTTTATTTCTTGTGTTTATTTGATAAATATAATATTGAACTTAAAAAATGTTGTATTAAATTTCGTCGGGCACGAAGTGCTCATCATTGTTACAACAGAAATACATTTACGGGTAAACCTCCTATCAGATGCATGTGGTTTTATTACTACAAGAGTTTACAATATTTACATTCATCAATTTACTTCTTTATAATTATTTATTTACACTTTTACCGAGTACCCGGGTACTCGATCGGAAAAACGTCCGAGTAACCGAGTATTAAAAATTGATCGATTTGACATCCCTATTAAAAAATAATGTTTATTCTGTTGCCCAGTAAAAGCAAGGTGGGGAAGAGACGTGTCCTTTGTTAAGCAATTTGATGTAAAAGATCGCCAAATAATTAGAAAAATAGATGAATATCTTTACAATAATACAATTATTAAATCTCTAAAATATTTTTTACTTTAGACTTTAAACATATCAGTTATGGTAAAAAGAAGGCATCCATACTTTATCCACATGGAATAAACGGCGCTCAAAAGACAGAGGACTTGGGTTTTGATGGTCACCAATCCGTGCTCATTCTGTAGAAGGATATCATTATCCACCCTTACTATTGCCGAGATTTGGCCATTTCTGACAAATGGACCGTTTTGTTGTCAAAAATAACTTGCATGGAAAGAAATATGAGTCGGAAAAAATTTAAAGCTTCTGTGACAGAACGCTAAGTAGCATGTCACGTGACCGACTATATCACGTGATTCATGCATGGTCACAACGGTTGCAGATACGCATTTAAATCGAAGAGGACTTCTTTGAAAAATTTTCAACACTGAAAACCAATACCAGTATCATTTCTTTTTTGGAAGTTATTCAATTAGGTCGCGAACTTTTTGATTACCCCTTGTAGAAGTCGGAAAATTTTCCTATTTTATGATAGGTCATCAAGAAAATTATTTTGCTAAAGATCGCTCGGATTCTACAAATAAGTTATCTGAAGTCGATGTTTAAGAGACGCTGGAGTTTCTTAATGATAACATTTATGTAGTCTTCGTAAACCTATACACCCTAAAGATACCTAGTAAAATTCACTAAGAAGACTAGTAAATTTTCTGTCCATACAATCACTACCATAAAAGTAGTTGTACTAAATATTGGGTAGATATACTAGATAACATGTATTTTTAGAATTTATAAGTAACTTTCAGTGGGTCACTAGGTATCTATACGACCCACGCTCCACGTGACATCTACTACTCACTATCTTAACTGGTAAACAAAATGATTACATATCACGACGAATGCTTAATACAAGGCAAACTAGTTAGATTACATGTAACTAGATTTTTCTTTCAGTGTAGTCTTCCAGCAAACTCTTGGAATTCTGATAGGCATTGTTTGTGCTCCTTAATAAGCTGACCCGTTTTTATTTTTCTACAAAGCAGAATTCATTTAAAAAATTCTACACGAGAAGAAGAGTAAAATTACTCAATGTAAAAAAACATCCCAATGAGCTTGAATATTAAAGACACTACAGAGTCTGTCACATATCTTAAATATTTGGATGTTTTACTGACTATAGACGATAATGTCAAACTAACAACTTAGGACTTTGACAAACAAGATGACTTAAACTTCCATCACCGTTTTTCTTTATTTATACACTGTATTCACATAGGCCAATTTTCATTGCATATATTATGTATATCTTTGCAAAAAAAGTGTGTGCGAGGGGGGGGGGGGGGGGCTCAGCCCTCCTACCCCCCCCCCCCCCCCCCCCCCCCGGTTCCGACGCGTATGATCAGTAGTTATAAAAATCCTGCATTTCATGAAACTTATTCTCAGTAGCATGCTCCGAACAATTTTTAAAACTATGCAGACTACTGACAAACAAGTTTATGTAACAGAGATTTAAACAACCACTTTTAAAGTTAGCATTTCGTAAATTCTATGGTCGATATAATGACATTGTTAGCAATTATGACCTATTATTCGGTCGTATTTTGGCCGAATTATTTCTTACCAATTGATACGCTTTCATTTTTACTAAATTTGACAACAGAATCTTCCGTTTAACTCATAAATGCATATAGGACTGACGTCAGGTGTGACCGGTCGACATGGGATGCACCCGACTCCACCTCTGGGTTTTCCAAGCGTCCGTGTGTATGCCCCTTCCAAAGTTTTGTATTGTTTGTATAGTTTTTGAGATCGATCACCGTTCGATCTCAAATGTGAATGAATAAGTATTAAAACAAAATACATGTATATTGCAATCTTTATTCATTTTATATGGAGTCATGTAAAAGCTAAAAAGAAAAAGATACGGAAAAGGAGAGATAACTACCTATCAAATGAGAAGGTAGACGACACTCGGAAATTCATTGATTAACTGATCCGCTAAAAAAATGAAGGCAGAGTTTACAACCAACTTTCGAAGAACTTTTATGAGTTTTGAAGAAGAACAAATTAGATTTCGGTCTTTATCTTTGCTGTTTACAGGACCAGTATAGGTATTTTCTTTTCGTTAATTCCGTCCGTCTGTAGTTTATCTGTTACGCTTTGCAACTCCTCTCTTACCACTTTGATGAGACTTTCACAGAATCTTTATTACATATTGCCATTTTGCACCTCCTATTTTACTTTTTGATCCGACACATATTTTGGGTTTCCCAGCCACAGGAAAACATAGACTTGTTCACCAGTTATAACCATATGGGAGGCGGGGGGTATCATTTAGTGAGCTCATCGCTCACAGTACCTCTAGTTTTAGTTTATTATGCAAAAGGTTTAAGCAAGACTATCTTTCTTAAAAATATTTTGGGTATAATTTATGTTTTTTTTGGGGGGTGGGGGGTGGGGGGTGTCACCTGAGTCACTTATTGCTCTCTGTTTTTGTCCGTCGTCTTGAGTCGTGATATGTGCGTTTTTAAACATTTTCAGATCCTTCTCTAGCAGTGCTGAACCAGTTTGCGATCAAGTTTTTATATAGCATCTATGGGTGTGGAGGAATAAAAATTGTGTAATATATGACCCCTGCCCCACTGGGACCTGCGGGACGGGACTGAAATCCACCAAAATTAATGAAATCTTTAAAAGTCTGAGCAAACGCAGGTGACCTATTGCTATCTGTTTTCGTCCGTCATCGTGCGTCGTTCGTAAACTTTAGAACATTTTAGCTTCTTCTCTGGAACCGCTCAACCAATTTCAACCAAATTTGGCATATAACATATTTGGGTAAAGGGGAACAAAAATTGTGAATTTCATGGTCCCTGCCCCCGTGGAGCCTTAGAGGTGGGGTCAAAATCACCAAAAGTAATGCAATCTTTTCTCTTCCTCTTTACTCCTGGACATCAAGCAGTGAAACTGTTAAATTGGCATATTTGTAATAAGCATCGAGTCCTCTTCCAAAATTGTGAAATTCATGGCCCAAGGGTAAGGGGTCTAGTATTAGCGCGGGGCTATACTGTAAACCAACTATTATTCGCGTCATCTTTATTCGATTCCTCGGTTTAGAATAGACCCGCTACGATTAATTTTCGCGACTGAGGAAACAAATGGTTCGCGGCGATAATATTTGCGAATTAAAGAAACTCGCGAATATTTTAAACTCTCGAATAAAATTTGGTTTACAGTATAGATTATATAGTGAAAGTGTATTATTTGTTTAAAAATCTTCTCTTCTTCTGGGTATTAAATAATCAAACAATGTATAGTTATGCTGTGGAAGGGTACCTGGCCCCTTGTTCAAGGGTTCTGGTGGTAGGGCGGAGTTCTATTGATTTTATAGTAAAAATGCATTAATTATTTGAAAATCTTCTCTGATCCCGGGTGTTAAACAAACTATTAACATACTTATTTATGATGAGGAGGGTAACCTCTAGCAACACTGTGAATTTCATGGACCAAGGGTCAAGGGTTCTGGTGTTAGGGCTCTGTTGATTACATGTATTTAGTGAAATGCATGAATTATTTGAAATTTTTCTTCTCTGCTCCTGGATATTAAATGTACAAAGTTATTATGAAAAAAGCGTGCCTCTTCCAAAAGTATGAATTTTATGGTCCCTGGGTCAGGGGTTGGGTGTTAAGTTGGGGCTTTTTTTTATTATATACATGTAGTTAAAATGCATTGATTCTTTGAAAGTCTTCTTCTCTGCTCCTGGATATTAAGTCTATAATTTAGGTACATAGTTATGACGAGCAGGGGAGCTTCTTCCAGAATTGTGAATTTCAAGGCCTTTAATTGTGTTTCTTTAAAAATATATTTAAACATCGATATAATATTGCCAGACTCACACAATGTTATTCACAAATGTGTAAAATAAATAAAACGAACTTAAAATTTCAAAGAAGATTATTTTCTCTTTATAAAAACAGTTGCACTGGAACAACCCTGAACTACGGGCAGATTACACAGATAGCTCAGGAATGACGTTGTACTATACCCCCAATCTCCGCCCCAATGATGCTGTCATATTAATGGTGGGACAAATTCATCTTGAGATACCCCCAGGGAGTAAACGCTACTCAGCATCCTCTGTGTGTGACGCGGAAGATACACAAAAGATCTTCGCGGGGCCGATCAACATCGTACGTGGACTGAATCATATGCACTACTTAGGTAAACAGTTGGGATATTACTTGTGTATAAAGTGTTTTTTTAGTTGAACATGTAATGTGTAAGATGATAAATCTCATAAATCCAGGGAAAATCTGGGGGAAAACGCAAAACCCTGGAGCCATGATTAAAGGTTGGATATTGGTACATAAGCATTAGGATAACATTTCATTCGAGACATGCCAGTCAGTATTATAGCAGAACTATAGATTGTATTTAAAAACAAGGTAATTTTCCCAAATTTTTCTTTTAAACAAGGTTTTTGAAAATCATGTAACAGCAGTTTATTTGTTAGTATCATATTCCAAATAAAAACATAGGCAATCAGAGATTACAGAACTCACCTCAACGAATGTTGTCTTTAAGGAAGGCAAAGTCACACAATTAACCAACAAAAAGTGAACACTAAAAGAAACATACTAGAAATATCTTTCATGCATGTCTTATTAATATAGGATAAAGAAGTACTTAAAATAAAAAGAAAACTGCTCCAAAAAACTTAACCTTAACCCGGGACGCCGACGCCGAGGGCATTACATAAGCTCCCCCAACTTCGTTGAGGTGAGCTAAAAAGTAACCGAACTCGGAACATTGTTACGATAAAAGAACCATATTCAAGGTAAATGTATAAACATAGCAAAAACATAAAAAAAACGAAAATTAATATTAAGTTAGTTGTTGATTCAAATACCAAAATGAATAGCATAATTTTCGAAAGGACCTAGCAGCCCATTTCGGCATATCCAAAAGACAATGCAAATTTGATGAAATTAATACTTAAACATTGTCATTGAAATTATCTAGAAACTGACCCACAATTTGTTCTCTTGTATTGAGTATAGAACTGTTACAGATTTGTTTATTTTGTAATATTGGAAAAGAAGACATTTTTTTGCATTCCATACGCTAGTATAATGGCATACTTTGGCCTGAAATTTGTGAATGAGTAATTTACAGATAAAATACGTTTTTGAAATATTATAAAATGGTTTTCATGTTAAAACTTAAATTGGATTAATGGGTAAATATACATGTATACATAACCAGTTTTCAATTGGTTATTTGAGTTTAATAGTCGAAATGAGGAACATGAGATGTTACAAAGGTAAACTTGTTAGCGACATAGAAAAGGTCATGTTTTTGTAGAATGGCTGTTTTTAAAGCTGGTGTTCGAATTATGATCTGGGTATAGAATTTCCTTACACTTTTTCTTTTCTCAACAGGCCGTGAGCAATACATAGAACTTTTCCGTAATGGAGAAAAGGTCCAATCCATTACAAACGAATCAACGTATAGCTACGACAGACCAACATTTCATCCGTAAGTACACAAGCAAATCTTTACATTACACAGAGTACAATGAAAAAATAAATATTGCCAGTCTGATCCCAACCACTGTGAACTATTTTAGCTTGCCCGAACCCATGAAAGTTCACCCAGGTGACGAAATAAAAACTACATGTGTATTCAAGACTACGAACAAGAAAAAGACAACGTTCATGGGTCGTGGGACAAACGAAGAGATGTGTTTCGGCTTCTTGGAGGTATACCCCGCGAAAAACCTACGATCTAGAGCATGTGTCAACTGGCGATCTCTTTCCATGGCAAAGCTAAGCAGGGAAAACCCGTATGGTTGCAACCTAGACGTTTTCTTCAACTACACGGAACCCCATTTTATAAAGGTGAAGGAAAATTGCCGACCATTGTCCAAGTGTTTGGAAGAATGCAAGGAAGTTGTCAAAGAAATTCGGGAACATCCATGCATGAAAGGAGACATGCAGGAATACACCAAAGCCAAGGCGAGAGATGAGTACCAATGGTACAGCTATGATGCTCTAAATTTTATGTCCAGGATTCAGTCCTGTGACCTGGAGTTTTTGAAAGATGACCAACAGTTAGTTATTCAGAAAATGGTCAGTGATAAAGCTAGTAGTGGCACCAAACTTCAAATGAAGCTTCTAAATTTGATTTCTTCGTTTCTATTTGCCGCTTTTATGTTCATGAATTTGTTTTAGTTGTGTTTTAATGGAGAGATATACCACGGTAACAGTGAATGATATTCATGCATGTAAATATTTTTAGAATTAAATTCATTTTTGTAAATTTGAATTCTTATGAAATAAAAACACTACTCCCAATATTTAATATTTTAGTACTGTATTATGACAAAATAAGTTTGAATTGTCATAATACTAGTTTTTCATTTCGTAATTCATAAGGACCTTTCTAGGTCAAAGACCTCGACGTATTTCATTGTAAAGTCTATGAACTTCTACGTTCATTCTCTTTTGTTTTTAAATTTGAATTTAACTGTTTTGTTTATATTTTAAAACTTTGCATCTTGTTGTCAAGAAGTGGATTTATTAGAATAATTTCCAATACAGATAATACAATGTAAGTTAACAAGACAAGCCATATTCGAAGACAATTCTGTATGTAAATAATGGTCTAAGAATTGGTATGATGAACATCAGTCAGCATTCGACTCAATGATAAATTGTACTTGGTGATATGGTCATTGGATCTTAACAAAGAAATAATGAGATTAAAGGAGGTTGTTGATACCGTTCTTTAATCAAATTGTCTTTCAATAGCTTGCTTCGTTTTAAAACATGCATACTCTCTAGAGATAAGTGATTTAAGGTACATGTACTCATGTTTTTTTACGTCACCAATAATGCCGTGCCTAGCATGGCTATAGTAGTAGGATGAAGAAGAACATCAACACGTTGGAGGAATATGTTTCATTTGTTCGATATCTTGGCACTGTTGCTTTTGTTTGTTTTTGTAATTAAAAAGTTTAGAGACAATAGTCGATGTGTTATTGTTAGAAATACAAGATGTGGACTTTACTTTTGTGATTGTGAATATTTAAAGTATCAATCGCGCCTATGCCTTTTTCGCATATTTAAGTTTAAGGACAAACAGAAAACAGACCTTTTTTCGTAAAATGTGGCGGATAATATTTCTAATTATTTGCAATATACATAATCACGGATCCGATTTTGTATTCTGTTGTCGAAGAACCCAATCATGGACTTTCTTTGACCTTTTCAAATAAACTATTTAAAACTTTTGATGCGAATGTGATGAAAACCACAGGTACTTATGGACAGGAACCCCCCCCCCCCTCGATATTCAACCCCGAGGCTTATTTGACATTTTTTTCACAAATTATATCTATTACACATTTTAAACCCCAAAATAATCGCTCCACCAAAAAAAAAATACCCCCTATACATTATCTCTCTTATAATGTATAGTGGGGTATTTTTTTGTGGAGGTTTTCATCACAGTAATAAATATAATTTGTGAAAAAAAATGTCCAATTAGCCCGGGGGTTGAATATCCGGGGGGGGGGGGGAGGGGGGTTCCTGTCCACAAGTATCTGTGATGAAAACCTAACTACCCGGTATTTATTCACACAAGGCAGCAGTGATTTAAAAGAGAATGTGTAGAAAGGTTTTATGCAAGATCGATGTCCAGGACTATGCTAACATCTTTTTGAATTGTCAAGAAGTCCCTTCAGATTCACACTGCTATACAGTGTGGATTTAATAAAAATTCTAGCAATATCGAAATTGTCAATGCATCCATATATATGGAAAGGTCGTGCCTAATTTTCAAATCCAAGATTCGTCTCGTTGTCTACAGCAAAGTTGTACTCTATTGGACCATTTCTTTCATTGTTAAAATAGAACGAACAAGTAAATTAAGGTGGCTCATTACATCCACAGTTTATTTTAGATTTCATTACAGCATCACTTATAATGTAGATGTCAAATATCCAAATGGAGGTATTGATATCATAAATATTTTTTAGAGAATTTTTTAACTTTTGTCTAATTTTAGTGAAATGTTTTATTTCAAGTTTATAATTACCAGAATTTCAGAACTTTCTGTGTCAAATGATGAACATCTCCTATAGACAAGTAAACACAATAAAAATACCTCATAATACCTAATATTTATTTTATTAGAAAAAATAGTTTTCTCCAAAAAACCAATTAATGTCATTATCTTTTGAATCTGTGCATACTATATTAGAAAATAAGTTCAAAAGAGACAAGGAATGTATTTCAATGAATTGCATGAGACAAATTGAATGAAGAATGTTTTAACGAAATAAAAATTCCAATTTAAAAAATATTTGGATTAAAAGGTCCACTTTCAAGAGTTATCTTTCCTAATTACCAAAGACTCAAAACACTAAGGAACGTTTGAACATTACATCTAAAATTCAGAACAAAGCTCTAAATTTCCAGTGTATATATTCAAATCAATAAAGCAAGTATATAAAACAACACCAGCACAGTAAATAGTGCAAGTAAATCACTTTTTTAATTTCAACAAGTTTGTAGATTTTAACTGAATTCACACATGTCATTGATTGAAAAAATGTGCTTTAATAAAAATTGTTTGGCAAGATATGGCTGCTGTTTTCTTTTGTTTCTGCTTAAAAGCAATATATATGCAAAGGTCCGTTACTTTGTGAATTTTCAAATGTCCACAACTATTTTTAAAGCGTTTTAAAGGTCAACAGCAAAGTTGTACTCTAATCGCCCCCAGAACAAAACAATGGATGCTTATTTTTTTGTGTAGTACGTCATCAAAAAGTGGTGTAATGAGCCTCCTTAAAGTGCTTGTAAAGATGATAGCCCATATTGTGCTTTTTTGAATTTTTTTGCCCCCGTATTCTTAGATTTATCAACAAATCAGAGAAAGTACATTCTTTTACATTTGTTTTACTGTTGATTTTACGTCAAAGAAAGACTTTATGCCAAACGCATTAAAAGGCGTTATATAACGCATTTAATTTTTGATTTAATTTTTGTGTTATAACACGTTTTCACTTCAACTTTTAAAAACATTAAAAAATTTTCACATTGTAATTAGGGCATAGTTTAAATGTATAATTACATGTACTCATAAAAAATGCTTTTTCAAAAGATACATAATACATGTAATAACAACGCCTTATTGATGATGATGATGCACCTTTTTCGCATTTCAAGTTTTAGTCAATTAGTGTTTAATTAATGTATTCTCGAGGCATAGCGATATTATAACAATGTCATCTAGGATAAAAACTTAACTTCTTGGCAACTTACAGGATCAAGATTAAGTTACATATTTAACCCTAAACAACTAAGCAAGTGACAAATCTTAATTTTCTGCATGATTGAAACTGGTTTAAAACCGAAGGCATGTCAGATGATAAATGTCTTTACAAGTGAAGAAGTGAGTGCATTTTGCAAATGGCTATTAGATCAATGAACATCCCTACCAAATCGGCGAAAAACAAACGCAAAGAGAAGAGTTTTTTCAAAAAACAAGAGGCCCATGGGCCACATCGTTCACCTGTGTAACTTTGGCCATGTTGTTCTTTACCAGATTCCCCTTTGTAATACAGTGGACCTTCAGATATCCGGACGCCAGATATCCGGACGCTTCACCTTCCGGACGATTTTTCTCGGGAACGGATTTTTTCAACGTAATTTTGACTCATTTATCCGGAATTCCGTTCCGTATCCGGACGGCTCTTTTTTACTACAAAATGTATTTTTACGTTAAAAATTAGTTCATTTATCCGGACGGTAAATTTTAATTTGTACTTCCATTCTTGTCAACATTCACGCCTGAACTGAGTGATAATTGTTGTCAAAACACTGGCCGGATTGATTGTTTTTACAAGACGATCACCTGTGACCTGTTATGAATGACTTACGATGATTAGTCCATAGATTAAGCATGTTAAGTGGATATGGTCATAATATAAGAGAGATCGATACACAAATGAAAATAAACAATTAACTGTGTTGGTAACAGAAAACAATTTTCTATTCAGTTATTTGTTATCTGCAAGATATTTATAATTTTAGTAGAGAGCTGGTTTTAAATATTTTTCTATTTATAGACGGGACGACATAGTTTCATAATCTCGTGTACTCCTCATGTACTCCTTATCTATTGTGACCCCGCCCTACCCCCGTGGGTCATGATTTTAACAATATAGAATCTACACGACCTCAGGATGCTTCCATATGGTTTTCAGCTTTTCTGGCCCAGTGGTTATTAAGAAGATTTTACTATATATTTCAATGTAAAAGATGAAATCCCTGTTTTGGTCCCACCTACCCCCGGGGGTCATGGTTTTAACAATTTAAAATCTACAATAACCCAGGATACTTCCATATGTTCCAGCTTTTCTGGGCCAGTGGTTCTCGAGAAAAAGATTTTCCCTATATATATTTCAATGTAAATCTTGGTTTCCCTATTGTGGCCTCGCCCTTCCCCGGAGGTCATGATCTTTAAAATTTAGAATCTACACTACCTCTACACCACCAAAGAATTCTTCAACATAAGTTTAAGCTTTTCTGGTCAGTTCTTCTTGAGAAGATTTTTAATGACCCCACCCTGATTTTGTCTTTTCTTGATTACCTCCCCTCGGAAAGGGACTTGGCTCTATATTTTCACAATTTAAACCCCCCTTTACCCAATTATGCCTATATCAAGTTTGGTCAAAATTGGTCCATTTCTTCTTGAGAAGATGGTAATGTGAAAAGTTTACAGACAAACGGACGGACGGACAGACGAAAGGCAAAAGATAATCAGAAAAGCTCACTTAGCTTCAGCTCAGGTGAGCTAAAATGTTTCTCTTAAAACATATAATGTATAAAAATGAAAATAATTTCAAAATACATTGATATATAAAGAGGAAGTGTAAGTTAGAACAAAACAGTATGAAAGTTTAATTTTTTACACGTGAATTTTCCTTGATAGCAAAGTGCAATATATTAAAGACAGCGGTACAAAAATTATGCATGTACATGTGTACGCTTCATGATTAGATGATTTTATTTGAGCTATGAAACAAATCTTCTTCAAAATGTTGGTAAATATGTCTTAAGATCAGACGAGAGGGCTTGTGGGCCATATTATATCAGTATAATATGTAAGGCACGAATCTTACAATTCTGAGTGTGAAAGTGACTGTCTTTAAAAGTAAATGTACCAACAATACCTTAATAGATTTTGTTCGAAATATTTGCATAAAATGTCTAATGAACGTTAATCAGTTTTCATCAGAAAAACAATATATCTTTCTCACAACTTAGGGTGTTTCCATCTTATGTATGGAAGGTCCTTTCCATCCTCTCTCAACTCTGCCCCTCCCACTCCTCCTTAGCTTAACCCTTAGTCTAACCCTACCCCAGCCTTATCCTAGGCCCAAGTACCATACACACCTCTCTCTTCTCTAACACTAGCAATGTTAGAATCGATGAACTTAACATATATTCACTGTTAAATCGATTTTATATATGCAAAGTTTATCGCCATCATCTCGTATCTTAAGAGTTTGTCCTCGAGAACTCCTTTAAAGATGATAACTTACTACCCACTTGTACCATCATGTCACTCTATCTTTACCGATAAATCAATCTCCATTCTACTAGGCCATCTTTACACACCACTTCAGAGTCGAGATTATGACCACGAATGGGCAGATTTATTTGTATACAATGGGTGCAGTTCCCTTTCTGTCAGTTGTGTGACTACTCTAAGTATCCCGGATGATGATGTAAGTTTTGATACCAACAGATATGTTACAGAACGACAATAAAATCTATTTACTTAAGTCCAGTCTGAAAATCAAACATCAAAACTATTATACAAGTATAATCCCCGTCAAATTGGAAGTACATATATCTGCAATCAGCTAGACACTTCTAATTTACAGTATGATGTTTGTCCAAAAAACACACACTTTCCTTTTAATATTTTGTAAACTACCCGCCCAAATAACTTATC